ACTAGAACTAACACTAGACCGAGAACTAGAAACATTCGGATTTAGCCGCACGTCTCTCAAGACGGCTAAACCCGAATGATTCTAGTTCTAGGTCTTGTGTTAGTTTTATTTGCCATATAGCGTCAGGTTGTTGTATATTTTTATTGAAACGACACTGGTCCGAAATTGTAGGTTCATCTGTTTTTTCTATAGTAGAATTTCTTGGTGTATCTAAGTATCGTATTTAAGTCGGTTCTTAGACGTATGATGCATATCTGACTTGAAATCGTATAACCTGATTGGCGCTTAACTTTATCCTTTAAAACAAATGGTATTTTAGGTCTTTCGGTATTCTGCATTTTTTCTAAGATAAGTTACACCTTTTCCTACCAGACAGCATGAAAATCTCTAAAAACGATAAAATATCGCGTAGTCAAGTGATGTATAACGCTTTCCATTTATTTAATAATTTATATAAACACTTCAATTCTTTTTAATGATTTTAGGAAGTATTGGAGGTTCATATTTTATGGTACAATTACCAGATGGAACGATGGAAAAACGTCAAAAACAACCATTAAACATAGATCCAGGTGTTCATTCAAGTTTTAATTTGGATCAATTGGCCCCCGGAACGCCGATAACCCCGATACCAACCGTCCCCACGTTGCCAACAATAGCCGAAGCTAGAACTCAAGAGCAAAATGGTGAATCTTCTGATGTGAAAATAAAAAATCCTCGTCTTGGTGAATTAAGAAATCAGGATGGAACGAAAGGTGGCGAATTTGACCCCACGAATAAAATGCCGCGAAACGCATCGCAACCTGCCTTTTCAACCCACGTCGCGTTGCCCAAGAACGGTTCGGTTCCCTTTTTCGATCGAGCGAGGAAAGCGTCCGTCGGTGAACGTTTTAAACCGAGTTTAAATCCGATTAAATCTTCCTCGAGGGGCGCTGTGAATTCGAACGGGGATATGAGAAAGAGTACCCGATCGTTTTTGGGTAGTCGAAACAATAACTCCGAGGTGGATTGTGAAAGTTTGGGTTACACCTCATCAAAGTTGTCGTTATCAAGGGAAAAACCACAAATGGTTCGTCCGTTATCAAGAAAGGATATTTTTTATTCTGGTTCTATTGTTAATTTACCACAATATCAATCTCAAAAGTCTTTGGAACATTATAGGCAAAGTATTCAAAGTTTAGCTAAACCTAGACCAGAAAAAACTGATGGTAAGAACTAATCACAAAGATGTTTTAATACGAAATTAATTTATTTTATTTTAGAAACTGAATTATGTCCATGTTTCGTTTTACCGGAAGGTGTAAAAGCGGCTTTAGGTCAAATGATGGATGTTTCTTTGTTAAAGAATCCGGTTTTTATGATGATTGGAATTTCGAATTTATTCGGAATGGCTGGACTTTACGTTCCGTTCGTTTATCTCGTTGATGTTGCGAAGAAAGATGGAATTGATGGTGGCCAAGCGTCCTTTTTAATTTCTATAATCGGCATAACAAACACAATCGGTCGTATAGCTTGCGGATATTTTGCCGATTTCCCTCAGGTTAACGCCTTATTCGTCAACAACATTTGTCTCGTTATTTCCACCATTGCAGTCGCTCTTACACCATTTTGCCATAGTTATGGGGCTTATGTAGCTATGGCCATCTTTTTCGGATTAGCCATTTGTAAGTTAATTTTTTATTTTATAAACAATCTTTTAATGTTTATTTTTTTAGCTGGTTACATCTCTTTAACCTCCATAATCCTCGTAGATCTGCTTGGTTTAGAAAAATTAACGAGTGCTTTCGGTCTGTTAATTTTATTCCGTGGGGCTGCTACGATTGTCGGTTCTCCATTAGCTGGGGCTCTGTATGATATGACGAAAACGTACGATTTACCGTTTTTCGTAGCCGGTGGATTATTCGGAGTCTCTGCATTAACAAGTTTTGCGGCCCCTCTATTTAAGCGTTTTGTACCTAACGAACAACAACCGGTCGTGGGGGACGTTTTAACCCCAATCGATGAAGATGAGGAGGAAGATGAAGATGATAGGCCCATTACGATAGGGCACGGAAAGATACCAGAAATTATAAAAACCGCTTCGAGTCCGGATACGGAAAAAGAAATTAAACAAATCGAATCAGTTTTATAGAAAATTCATATATTATTTTATTTTTGGGGAAACCCCGAAATGCTAAGAAGACTGTAATTTAATTAAAAAGAAGCAAACAGGTTTAAGAAATAAAGAAAAGAGTATGTGTGTGATAAAAAGGTATTTATATTCTAATAGTCAATTTTTTTTGATTAAAATGGAAAGAAAAATGAGGTTATGATTGTAAATAATTATTACAAAGAAGCATCATTATCTCCGAAAAATCCAACAATACATTATGTTCAGTAAAATTAAATCCAAAAGATTGTTTTTTATTGAACATGTACATATTATATAATTTTTGCTTAACTAACCGTAAAAATTGTCGCACAATGTAATACGTATAAGTAAAAGAAAACTGTAGGTAGTTTTAAGTTTAGGTAAACAATTTTCTTTCTATAATTTTGTCAAATCTTTTTGTAGTTTGATATCTTTGTAAATAGCGCAGCCAGTTTCCAAAAAGAAATCGTTTAAAAGGGGAGTAACACAAAGGTTATGAGAACGATGTTGATAATAAATATTTAAAATAATTAACACTATGCTCAGGTCCGTGACGCTGAGGCGCGCAAAGTAAAAGTAACTCGGTAAATAACCCGACGCTCGATAGACGCCTTAACTACTACGGTATGTAATTATTAAATTGATAATGATAATTGAAACTAAGTACGTTGTGTATAAATGATAATAATAAAAAATAATAAATTTAAAATAGGAACGATACGTTTAGTACCTGTGCACTTGGAGTTTAATTAATTAATTATTATTATTACGATTGATTAATTATTGTATTTTATTCGAAACACGTAAACTAAAAAATACATATTGTGATCTCGAAATATATTTTTTTATTTTAAAGTTGGCACAACTTAAATGTCAACTAACTTAACTGTCACTTTTAATTTTGTGTGTTTAACAGTGTTTAAGGTGTTTTCTTGCTTCAAATTGGCTTTAAGGTAAGATTTAATGTTCTAATACGGTTTAATGCTGTTGCGCTTGACGTTTTATGCCGTTCAGCCTTATCCTCCTCATTACAAAGACGTCATTTCACCTCGAATTGTCAAACATTTTTTTTTAATTTAAATAGATTTTTCACTAAATTTGTGTACCTGAATATAAAAAACACGTATAAAATTCGATGAATCTTACTAGAAATTGTGATTAGATTTATTTCGCGACGGTGAATGTGATGTTTTAATCGAAAACATAACCTAACTTTTTTTTTATGACAACCTCACCCCATCTAGCGTTAACCACCCATATTAATCTTAGTATTTTTTGACATTTAAAACCTGTGATAACATTTCTTCCTAAATTTATTGAATTTTACGAAAAGAAAAGTTAAATTAACCGAGAAAACGTCTTTAAAGTGCCTCTAAGTTCTAGGAAGTGTTCCCCATAAATTAATCGAAAACATAACCCAACTTTTTTAAAACGTCAATTTAAAATTGTTTCGGTAAAAATTAGTTTTTCAATTATGTTTTTTGCTGAAAGTTTTTTCTCTAAATTATGTATATCGTTTGCTAGAATGCGAAATAAATGTATAAAAATCTATGAATCTTACTAGAAATTGTAATTAGAGTGATCTTGAAATATATTTTTTTATTTTAGGTTGGCACCGTTTAAACGTCAACTTGTTTAAGTGTCACTTTTGACTTTGCGTTTAAAATTGTGTTCTCTTGGTTCAAATTGGCTTTAAGGTAAGATTTAATATTTTAATTTAATGTTCAGGCTTATCCTCGTCATTACAAAGACGTTATTACACCTCGAATTATCAAATATTTGTTTAATTTAATGTTTTTTTCACTAATTTCGTGTACTTGAATGTGAAATACACGTATATCTTACCAGAAATCGTGATTAGATTAACTTTGATTAACTTCGCGACGGTAAATGTGTTTTAGTCGACAACATAACCCAACTTTTTTTTCCATGACAAACTCCATCTAGCGTTAACCACCGATATTAATGTTAGTATTTTTGACATTTTAAACATTGCAATAACATTTCTTAAAATTATTAAATTTTTACGAAAAAAGAAGTTAAATTAATCGAAAAATCATTAAATTAAGGTTTTGAAACCTTAAAGTAATTCCTAAGTTGTAGGAAGCGTTCCCCATAAATTAATCAGTGACGTTTCGAAAATATAACCTAACTTTTTTAAAACGTCAATTTAAAATTGATGATTTATATCGGTAAAAATTAGTTATTCAATTATATATTGTTTTGTTGAAGATATTTTTACTCAATTATGTGTTTTGTAAGAATGTGAAATAATATCTTGGTTTAAATTGGGTTTAAGGTAAGATTTATTGTTTTAATAATAGAGAAATATCAGTCCTAAAATAAATTTATTGATTACTTTTAAATAACGATTACATTCTAATAAAAAATAACCATAAGTGTAACTAAAATCTTTGCTGAAAATTTTGTTGCTGTTGATTTCCATTATTATACATCATCTGCTGTTGATGAAATTCCTGTTGTTGTTGTGACATTCGAACCACCTGAGGATTAACATCAACAGCATGTGGGCCTAATCGAACCCTTTTAGCGGGATTTCCATGATCTTGATTCACGTTGACGTTTTGTTGTTGTTGCTGCTGATTCTGTTGTTGTTGTTGCGCTTGTTGCTGGTTTTGTTGTTGTTGCTGCTGTTGCGCTTGTTGCTGTTGTTGTTGCGCTTGACGTTTACTTTCAGCCTTATCCTCCTGATCATCATCCGTTAAAAATTCACGTTTTGGATATGGAATGGTGCAACCAGCAAATACGTCTTGAGTAGGCTTCGGATCTTCTTGAAAGTACGGATCTTGCATTGCTTGTTCTGAAGTAATTCGTTTATTGGGGTCCATTAAAAGGAGCTTTTGGAGGAGGTGGAAGGCTTTTGAATCTGGTTTAATTTTATGACGATCCATATATTTTACTAAGGAACAATTTACGTAACTAAAACGGAATTTATGAATATATAGAAATGAATTAAATTATTTATGAATTAATCTTACTTATTTTTTTTAAAGTCTTTTGATAAAGTAGGATGTTCCGGCATTCTTTTAATATCCTCCCAATCTTTTTCATGGGGAAATCCCATAACATTAAATATCCTATCCAATTGATCATGATGGTATGGATTACTTGTTTTAATATCTTCTTGTCGACAATGAAAAATCGGCTCGGATGTTAATAATTCAGCAAAAATACATCCAATAGCCCATATATCGATCGCTTTTGTGTAATGCCTAGCCCCTAATAATAATTCGGGGGCGCGATACCAAAATGTTACTACAACCGGGTCTAAATCCGCTAAAGGTTTTAACGGGGCATTAAAAAGTCTTGCAAAACCCATATCGGCGATTTTAACGCGACCTCTTTCCGGTCCTTCACCCATCACCAAGATGTTAGCTGGTTTCAAATCGCGATGTAACACCCAGTTCGAGTGTAAATAGTGAATTCCATCCAATATCTGATAGAGAAGGGATTTCACCATTCCAGTCGGTACGATGACTGGCTTCTTATTCGCCTTCGCCGCCCGATGGTACTTAATAATATGCCAAAGGTCATGTTCGGCGAAATCAAACATAAGCCAGACTTTGCGATCGTTGTGCGACAGGAAAACTCGAATTAATGTTATTACATTGGGATGCTTTAACTCCCGAAGCAACTAAAAAAAATGATCGTTAAGCTCATCGTTGCGAAATGACTCTACATTAATTTACCGCGATTTCTCTACAAGCCGACATCGAGAGTCCGGTTCCTTCAATTTGTTTTAAGGCGTAATCTTTCGGATCCGAGCCGTCTTTTCGTCGACCCTTGTAAACGTGACCGTAGGTGCCCCGTCCTACTTTACAACCTTCATAATCAAATAGATCCTCCACTTTAACTCGTTCCGTTTGTGTTTTAATTTTAAACTCATAATCCATCATCAATCCGGTCATATTATAAATTGTTAAATTCACTAAAATAAACACTTCTTTTATGAAGTGTTAATTAATTAATTAATTTTTAATTGCTGCTTATACACAGTTTATTCAAGTTATTTTGAGTAACATAACCTCACATTTTTTTTTAGTTTTCACAACGAATAAGAGATGGCGCCATTATATTTTTATTAATAATTAATTTTATTGTATAATAAGATTAATTCTTTTTAAAAAAACGTAAATTAGTATTAATTTATTATTTGATTAATTAATTATAATCATGAAAAAATTTAAAATGAGACTTTTGACATATCTAGATAACCTCAAAAAATGTTTAGAAACATAACCTAAACATTATTTTAACTGAAATGCTTTTTAGAAACGTAATGTTACCCCCGAAAATAACAAAAATATCATCTTTGATTCATTCACATATACGAAGAAAACTATCAAGAACCGCGGTTAAATATCAAATCAAAAATGATTCATCTGGGGGAGTTATGCAAATATTTGATAGAAAAACGAAAACGCTTCAAAGAGAACGGGCAGCGTCGGCACAAGACGTGAATTTATACGATTATCTTAAAGAGGAAATAGGGTATAGACTTGCAGATAGAATTTTCGATATTAAAAGAAAATTTAAATGTGCCGCTGATATCGGTGATTATCCCTCATCAAATCGAAGCGAATTATTATGAATTATTTTGTTAGGTTGTAGTAGAGGATACGTTTCCAAACATATCTCCATAGATTCAGTCGAAGAATTAATTCTATGTGATGTGAGCCAAGCAAATTTAGATTCGGTTATTGTGGGTGATGGTGTCAAGGTTATAAAGCAGATTTTAGATGAAGAAAACATCCATGTAAGTTATAAGAAAATGTGGCTTAAAAATCGACTTTTTTTTAATCGATTTTTTAGAACAAGAAACATTCGGGTTTAGCTGCACGTCTCTCAAGACGGCCATTATTATTATTATTATTGTTGCCAGGCTGAGGGGAGCGGCCCCTCTCGTTACCGCGACCTATAAGATCTATTGCAACTTTAGCCCTCCAAAAGTTTAGGGCAAATGTAGATCCTTGATGAATCTTAGTATTGCTCTGAGGTCTTGAACCTTTATGTCGGTAGGTGTCAAAAGAGTTTTACCGAAAATTTTGTATATGTTGGCGACGCAATTGCGCAGTATATGTTCAGCTGTTTCTGACTCATCGTTGCAAAGTCGACAAGTTTGATCCTCGGCTTCTCCAATGTGGAAAAGGTGGTATTTTAGGGTCGCATGGCCGGTGAGGTAACCTGAGAGATCCCCTTTGCTGAGGCTTAAAACCTCTTTGGTTTTGTTTTGCGACGGAGTTATCACACTCTTCGCTTGTCTGTGACCTGGAAGTTCTTTCCAGCGTAAGGCTACCTTTGAGACCTCCCAACTGTTGATTATTTGTTTTAGGTGGTTTTTTTATAGTCCACAACCAGCTTGAGGTCCAATGAAGGACGTGTTCGCTGCCTCTCTGGCTAGCTTGTCCGCCTTCTCATATGGCTTCTCACCATAGGGTAACATCATTAACCCTAGCGAGTTCTCTCAGGTTGCTGGTACACTCTGTGATCAGTGCGGAGTCACACGTGTAGGCTCGAATTGCCTTTAAGGCACCCCGACTGTCTGTGAAAATGTTTATGGATGCATCTTTCTGTCCCTTCTGTAGGTTCAAAGCGGTGCAGAAGTTTATAGCAAGAACTTCTGCATGGAAAATTGTTATGTCCGAGCTGAGGAACAGTTTAATGTGGCTGTTTGATCCACTGATGCCCATACCTACTCTGGATCTAACTGTCTTTGAAGCATCGGTGTACCAGGCTAGGGCTCTTCTTTTTAGTTGAGGCCCTCCCTTCGCCCAATCATCCCTGCTTCTATATATGACCTTATACGGCTGGTTGAAATTGTATTCTGTCGGTATAAGGTCCGTTTTAATTTCAATCAGGTGATTTAGACATGGGTCCTTGAGGATTTCGAGGTGTCCTCTGAGGTTGCCCTGTATCAACTTGAGTGAAGAAACTATTTTTAGTGATAAGGCACTTGAAGCTGTCTCCTTTTGTATATACCGGGTGTCCTTCAAAAGTGGCTCACCCCCATATTTTTCTTTATTATTGGTGATATAAGAAAACCATTTGGAATGCATAGTTAGGTCGCTAAAACGGATTATTACGACATGAAATCATGCTTTTTGTACTTCCGGTTACACCGGATGTGAGTACTAGTTTCGCTATTTTTTTAAATCTACAATTTTTTTTTCTTCAGTTGGGTAGACAGTATAATTTCACATAACTTTTACTTGAAAAAATTTTCACGATCGCTTATAATTTTTGAAAAAAAAAATTATTTTCGTTATTTTTTAACGTTTTAGTACCTTCGGAAAATGTATTACAACTTTTGACGCATAGTAGCTAGGTTAATAGTACAAACTACGTTATGTCCCTCTTGATTTGCTATTCCTCGAGCAGTGATCACTGCTATGCTTTAGTTAGTGGTTCTTTTTTAATAATGGTGTAAATTAACAGTTGTATTAAATTAGTTTTAAAAGAAAAACGCTATCCAACAATTAAATTTAATTCAATTGTAAGTTCAAAAAAACTAATTTTCTAAATTTTCAAAATGCTCCCGCCTCGATTTTGACATAATTGTATCTTGCGTATTGTCGATCTAACGACTCGACGTTATTCCTGCGGAGATATTTAGGTAATACAATTTCTAACTCGATTTATTTTCTAATACCTCACGAGACCTTACTGGTGTATTATACAGCTCATTTTTGATTTTGCCCCATAAAAAGAATCTAAAGGTGTGAGGTCAGGTGATCTGAGAGGTTTTAACCAAAATAAAGTAAACAATCCAAATTATAATGTACAATGGACATTGTAAGTTACTATCAGCTACAGAACATTTAGTGTAAAAGAACAAAAAATAAAGAAAAAAATAAAAAATCAAAAATAATTGAATTAAACTTAATTGTTTGATCGCGTTTTTCTTTTAAAACTAATTTAATACAACTGTTAATTTACACCATTATTAAAAAAGAACCACTGACTAAAGCATAGCAGTGATCACTGCTCGAGAAATAGCAAATCAAGAGGGACATAACGTAGTTTATACTATTAACCTAGCTACTATGCGTCAAAAGTTGTAATACATTTTCCGAAGGTACTAAAACGTTATAAAATAACGAAAATAATTTTTTTTTCAAAAATTATAAGCGATCGTGAAAATTTTTTCAAGTAAAAGTTATGTGAAATTATACTATCAACCCAACTGAAGAAAAAAATATTATAGATTTAAAAAAATAGCGAAATTAGTATTCACATCCGGTATAACCGGAAGTACAAAAAGAATGATTTCATGTCGTAATAATCCGTTTTAGCGACCTAACTATGCATTCCAAATGGTTTTCTTATATCACCAATAATAAAGAAAAATATGGGGGTGAGCCACTTTTGAGGGACACCCGGTATAAATGGAGCGGTGTGAGACCGAGTAGGGCTTCCAAAGCAGCAGTCGGACAAGCTGTTGTTGTGCTGTCTTATGTTTTGTTTTTGGCCACCAAACCAATGAGGCGTAGGCGACCATAGGTCTGATTATTGCTACGTAGGCCCAATGAGCCATTTGTGGTTTGAGACACCAGTTCCTTCCTAGGAGCCTGCGGCAGATCTGGTTTGCCATGATGGCCTTTTTCCTCACTTTATGTAAGTGTGAGTTCCAGTTTAGTTTACTGTCCAGTATTATACCCAGGTATTTAACTTCTGTTTTGAGGTTAATAGTTCTGCTTTCAATTTAGGGTGCTTTTATTTGTGGCTTCCTTCTCCGAGAAAAAGGGACTATTTCGATTTTATTGGGATTGATGTGCCCATTGCTTCTACACCAAATACTAGTGAGTAGGGCTTTTTGCATTAGTTGAGTTATGATTGCATCATATTTACCTCGGATTGTGATTACCAGGTCATCAGCATACCCCTGAATCTTGAATCCATTTTTTGTTAGGGTGTTCATCAAGTCATCAACTACCAGGCACCATAGTAGAGGTGATAGTACTCCCCCTTGGGGACATCCTCTTAGCGTCTTTATAGTCAACGACTCGCCTCCCAGACTGGCTGTGATCTACCTACTTTTTAATATGGCTATACACCATTTGATTGTCGACGGATGTATATCTTTCACGTTTAGAGCGTTCTCTATGCATTCATAGGAGGTGTTATGAAAAGCACCTGCTATGTCTATGAAAGACATAGAGGGCTAAACCCGGATGTTTCTAATTCTAGGTCTTGTGTCAGTTCTAGTGATAGTGCTAGCGTAAAACTTGAATTAACACAAGACTTAGAATTAGAAACATTCGGGTTTAGCCGCACGTCTCTAAAGACGGCTAAACCCGAATGATTCTAGTTCTTGGACTTGTGTTAGTTCTAGTGATACTGCTAGTGCAATACTAGAACTAACGCTAGACCGAGAACGAGAAACATTTAGATTTAGCCGCACGTCTCTCGAGACGGCTAAACCCGAATGTTTCTAGCTCTAGTGTTAGTTCTACTTTTCACAAAAAGTGACGTCACGTCGAAACTTTAAAGTGTTTTTTTTTTTTGTAAGTCTTACACATTTCCGCACTTTTTTCATATTTATAATGACTTACTTGAGTGATTTCCCATCGATTAAAAAAAAATGCCGATTTTTAAGCAACATAATGATTCTTGAATGATATCTAAGTTATATTAAAATAAATAAAATAATTTTTTATAGTTTGAATCAAATTCTTTGGATTTAGTTGTGTCAAGTTTAAATTTGCATTGGGTAAACGATTTACCGAAGGCTTTAAATTCGATAATAAGCGCTTTAAAGCAAGATGGTGTTTTTATGGCATCGGTTTTTGGTGGAGAAACTTTATACGAACTGCGATCATCGCTACAATTAGCCGAATTGGAGCGTAGGGGTGGTTTATCACCTCATATATCTCCTTTTACGGAAGTTAGAGATATTGGAAGTTTGTTAACGAGGGCGGGATTTACCATGCTGACGATAGATACAGATGAAATAATTGTTAATTATCCGACAATGTTCGAATTAATGTGGGATTTGAAGGGAATGGCAGAGAGTAATGCAGCGTTAAATCGATCATTACATCTCCACAGAGATACACAATTTGCAGCCGCCGCTATTTATGAACAATTATATGGAAAATATGATGAAGAGACTCAAAGAAGTGGTATCCCCGCCACGTTTCAAATTATTAATATGATTGGATGGAAACCACATCCAAAACAACCAAAGCCAATTGAAAGAGGAACTGGGGAGGTTTCATTGAAGGATTTGCATCGATTAGATGAGATTATTAAAGAAATTAAAACAGTTAAATTAGATGATGATAATGAGAAAAAGTAAGATAAAGAAAGTATTAGATTATGTTATACGCTTATAAAAATAATAAAGGTTTTCTTTGAATTTATTCTAAAAGATCACACATCTAAATAACTAATTGTATTCAAGTTTGTTTTAATGTGGTTTTGGAGTATGTCCATCAACATAAAAATTGCGTGTAGCTTGCGGTAATTGCAACTCCATCCCTTCCATATCTTTACTCAAAATTATTTGGCATCCCAATCGCGAATTTTCCTTTAAAAAGGGTGCTAAATCTAACAGATCATCTTCTTTCTCTTCGGGAGGATTTAACTTGTCTAAATAATCACTGTTGACATATACATGACAAGTTGTGCAAGCTAGAGAAGCTTCGCAAGCTCCTTCCATAGGGATGCCATACCGATGGGCTAAATAAAGCAGGTTATCTCCGATTTTACCTCGAATTTTAACTTTTTCACCATCTTTTTTAACGATACAGATATTTACTCTAAAAATTAATTATTGATTAAAAATTAGGGTGCGAATTAATAACGTACACTTCTTTGTCAGATTTAGGATCTTTCCATTCGTATTCGCCGTGGTTTAAGGCTAAAAAAGTATTAAAAATATATAAAATTCAGATTTGATTTATAACCCTACTTTTTGTGATGTGTATAATCCGATTAAACGAATTTGTTTTAGTTTTTTTTAATAAACTATAATTATATTTGTTACTTAAATATCTAAAAATGTTTGGGAGCATTTCGTAATGTTAGATTATATACATTTTTTTATCAATTTTTGTATGAATTTTAAAGGTTATGTTTTTGACATAACCAACATTAAAACAAAAATATCCCCAAATATATTTTAACCATCTTGATTTTACGATTTTTCTGATTTCGGGTTTTATTATAAAAATATATAAATTTAATTAAATTTGGAGGATTACACATTAAAAAAATGGTGGTTTTTAGCGGGCTACGCCCCATTTTATTCAACAAAGCTAATTTGTTGGTAAAAAACGGAGGTAGGGAAATATTACATAATTTTGAGGTTATGTCATATAAAAATGTTATTAATTTATTATTTAAGCGCAACGTTCTATGTCTGGACACAACACTTTTCCTTATCAACCATCGAGATTCCAATGGACTAAATTCAAAGATCTCTTTCATTATTATGTGATGCTCGGAGTCATCCCGGTTGGTTTGATTGTCACTTACGTGAACATTTTCATTGGGCCAGCTACATTAAGCGAAATCCCTGAGGGTTATACTCCAAAACATTGGGAATACTTTCGTGTAACTTAACAAGTTATTTTTACATAATGAAATTTTGAGGTTAATTTTTAATTTAGCACCCAATCACCAGATTTATATCGAAATATCTTGTAAGTTCTCCTCAGGAAGATTACGAAAAGTATTTGCATCATATTTTTGAGGAAGATGAAAAATCGAGAATGAGGAAGCTTGAAAAGGATGTTGAGACATTCATCTCGCAGAGAAACGATTATCAGGCTTATTATTACAGACCTGTACTCGCTAAGTATCACAGGATTAGTAAAGAAGCAGCTGATTATTTGGAATCACTTAGTGGTGATTAAATTTTTGATTTTGGGTTGTAGCAAATGTATTGTAACTTAAATTGCTTTAAGAATAAAGTATTAAAAAGTGTTGGTTGATATTTAGCTATCATAATATGTCTTATAATTTAAACATTTCAATAATTTGAAATAATTTGATACTATACTATATTCACCTCCTCTTTATAATTTTATGTTTTTTATCCAATCACAGGATATATTAATATTACACAATACTAAGTGTGATGGTGTTTGACTTCTAAAACTGCTTGTTATTGATGACATATAAGCTATAATATTATTCCAATCCCATCTAGGCCCAGTTTATTCACCTTTGCTTAGATTTAACTACTGGATATTTTCCATGGTTACTGTAATTTCACTTGCCATGATTGACTATTTCACCAGTAACTATGGTAAATATCCGCTAGTAAAATTTAACCAAAGGTGAATAAACTGGGCCTTAATCTTTTCCCATTAATTTTACCACTGGGTCAAAGTGCAATTCTAGTACGACTTTTAATTAAACTATACAGGGTGTTCCAGTGACTCGAGGCATAAAATTAACCTCATATACTAGAGCAAAAATGATGATGATTCGTGATAAAAAATTATTATAAAAGTCTTTAAATGGCCAAGATATGGGCCATCAAAGTTCAGAAATTTTAACACATTTTTCTAAATATTTTATATTAAAGGGACAAAATAAGCCAAATGCAGATTTGTAAATTACTGAATGAAGCATATGGCAAAGCAGTTACAGTTGCAACTGCCGAGACTGCTTTCCGTGCCTCTGGTATTTGGGCTGTTAATCGACATGTCTTTCAAGATAGCCAATTTGCACCATCAGATATTTTGCAGCCTAAACCAAGTACTGACTCTGAGTCAATATCGATGTCATCAAGTGATAGTGAAGGCGATGACACTGTTGTTGATGTATGTAGAACTAGAAAAATGGAAAATTTTGAGAACGTTCTCCATGAAGTGTCACCGCCTCCAAAACTGAATCCCTGCCAGGACCACTATCTTCTCGAGCTAGAGGAATTGCCCAGAAAGCTACATTAATAACAAACAAGAAAAATCTTTTACACTGCAATAAAACAAGAAAGAACTAACCAAATTTTGAACAAAAAAACAAAAGAGACAAACTAAAATAACATGGTTTTCTTTATGTGTGAGGAAGAAAAAGAAGCAGACATGATGCTGTGCATCAAATGTCACATTTGGGTGCACACAAAATGTGCTGAATTTGTATTGCATTAAATGTATGTAATTTTTCCACTAGGGCAACCGGTGCCGGTGGTCCAACCTGGGAGACTGATTGCTTTAGTTGTTCCTCCTACCTTTTCCTTTTGCCTCTGGCACCTGACGACCAAGCAATTAACTCTTACTTGAAATATGACATCAACGTCAGCAGATGTACCCACAGACGGGAATTAGAAAAGTCAAAACATCCTTCCCTTGTAAGAGTGACATCATAAGTAAACCAAACAGATTCTTGGAACATGAACACTTTGCTGTAGAAACCATGAAGCAAATGTAATCCACGGTTTGAACAGGCGTAACAGGCCCTTTTATACCTTTTATGGTAGAGCGTTGAAATTTGGTACAGGGTTAACAAATATCAAGCAAAATCAATGAACCAATTTTGACTTTGATCGGGCGGCGGCAATCATGCTATACAGCTGTCCATAAAATTTGTATGCCCAGAACTTTTTTGTTCGCTCGTAACCCTACATTTATTTTTGTACTTTTTAATCAAGGTTTATAGAACATAAGGTTACCTCATTCCCTATGCCTCTGTAGTATCGATTATTACCCCGCAGATTGACGTCACTGGTTCGATACAGTCAGAATAAAAGATAGCCTATACGACGTGCCTATACTGTGGTACAGTCTATATAAAATATTTAAACCTCGCATCGTGTTGTGTTGTTCATAGAATCAGCTACGTCACTGACTCACCTTGCCTCTCAGAGGAGGAGAATCGGTATTGGGTAACCTTATGTTCTATAGACCTTGCTTTTTAATAGAAAATTTATTTTAGAAACTTTTATCACTCTTTGAAAATTTTGATAACATTGACCGTTTTCGAGTTATACGCGAAAATATTTAGCTTCGATTTCAATGGTAACACTAAAAAACAAAAATCTTCGAAAAAGTCAAGGTTGGCCATGGCAATTAAAAAAACAAATTGAGCTGTCAACTTGCTTATATCGTTTAAACACAAACGATAGTTCTTTGTTATAGTAGACGCCACGAGAGCTAGCAGTAAATCAGCGTTTTCCGCTCTTACAAATGCCATACGTAGTTCACAAACCGCTAGAGAGTAATGTGTGTTAGAAAGAGATAGTATTACTTTAATATGTCTGCTGTACAATTCAAATGGCCACGTCGAAAAGTACGTCTGTTCTTCTAAGGGATGTAACTCAAGGTCTATAGAACATATGTTCTATAAACCTTGGATGTAACTCTATAATTATAACCTCAAATCGAAACGTCTTGTGAGCGTTGTCATGAATCTGTTACTGTTTTCACAAGCCGAAAATGTTTTCTTTGAAAGGAAAATCATTAAATAATATCTTTGACAATGTTTGACATATAACCTCCATTACTAACATAACCTACATTTAAATGTATGTGGTGAAATAATCTAAGTCATCTGCCAGCTCTCGTGGTTTCTACTATAGTTAAGTTTTTATTAATTTTAAGTGTTCAAAATGGAGAGTTACACATTTAGTGAACAAACTGACATGATTTTGACATTAGGGCAATGTCAAGCAGCCGCCAACCGTTATCAGGAGAAATTTCCGAACCGCAGAGCGCCCAATCGATAAACATTTTTAAGGATTGAAACCCGTTTAAGGGAAAATGGGACGTTTAAGCCGAAATTTACTAACAACATTAACGTAAGATCAGTCCGATCACCCGAACTAGAAGATATTCTAGACTACGTAGAAGACAATACTACAGCTAGTACTTTGGATATGGCGAGGCATTTTTTAACTTCAAAAACAACTGTCTGGCGTGATCTTCACGAGCAACAGCTTTATCCATTTCATTGTTACAAAGTTTAGGAAGTTCGACTGGCTGATTACCCACTGCGAACAGGCGGAGTTAATCGCCATACAACTTGCCGCTGACGTTATTGTCAGATCCTTGGTAGGTAAGACTTTTACAATTTATACTGACAGTAGACAAGCTATTTTAGCCCTGAGTAGAATAACAATTACCTCAGGACTTGTTATGGGTTGTCATCTGACATTGGAGAAGGCCGCAGTGCATAACTGTGTCATACTTCAATGGATAAAAGGACACTCGACTTGTTCAGGTAACAAGCACGCTGATAGGCTTGCCAAAAGGGCTGCCAAGCGAGCGCCATGTTCGCCTGAACCGATAATCGCTCCGTCCTTATCAACTCAGATTGAGATAATTAAAGATTTTACCCACAAAAAGTTCATGAACTGGTGGGATAGGGNCGCCGTCTTCTACCCATATTCCCAACTGGTTGTATTTCCTTTTCCAATGTTTTAGGGTTGAGTGGATGTAGATCTTGAATATTGTGGGAGAGAGCGAGCATCCTTGTTTGACATCTTTTCTAGGAGAGAAAGCATCAGTTGTGAGTTTTCCTACCTGAACCTCTGCCGCTTCATTCCTTTATAACGCTTTCAACAGCAGTTCTGTTGATGCCTGCATCTTTCAGGGCAATCCATAATTTCTGAAGCGGGACCATATCAAACGCCTTTCTCAGATTTATGTATGCAATATGTATTTCCCTTCCTTGAATAAATCTTCCAGGTATGAAACCACTTTGTTCCTCTTCCTCCTTAATTTCCCTTTCTATCCTAGTTTTCAGGACTCTTCCATATAATATTCCAAGCGATTACGTTATGTCTTCTCCTCTAACACATTTATCAAATATCTTGCAAATTATTTCCAGGACTTTCATGGTGGCATGTTTGATTATGTCTATAGATAGATCTCCAGGCCCGGGAGCCTTATTATATGTTGGATTTGATTTTGGGAAAAATAAATAAAAAAGTTTTTTGAAAATTAGACACATTTATTTGTTACTTAATTAGGATAGTTGTTAGAGACTAAAACTGGTCAAAATTTGCATTTAAAAAAGTAAATTGTAAAATATAACAATCACAACCCCTAGTTACATTATTTTTTTTGTGAGTTTAAATTAAATGACATTGACAGTTCGCAAATTTTTTTTTTGTCAATCTTTTTGTGATGATTAAACTGAAAAGTTAGAATATCTAGTTGAGCATCTATGAAAGTTTGGCACAAATCTACTTTTTCTCATTTCAAATCTACTTGTTTTTCTTTTACACTAAATTGCATGCATTTTTTTGAACACAGTAAACTACCAACATAAAGAAAACACAACTATTGCGTTCAGTAAAATTGAAATGTATATGTTATTGAACACATTAATAGAATTAGAGAGAATTAAATCATTAAAACTTATTAAATAATCAGTACTTAATAAAAAAATAAAATAAGCTCTTCTTGATATAGACATTTATGGCACATTAAATAGTTATTTTTTGATATTTTTATTAGATATATTTATATAAATTTATCAATCTTGATAGATAACGCTCAATATACCATCTCATATTAAAATAGATCTCTTAGATTCCATTTTTTTTTACTTTTAAATATTCGCAATTCCTCAGATCCAAACGATTTATGTACAAGAAAAATTAAATATGAAATATAAAAATTAAAAAATCGATAACAAAATAATAATTTATCAGATTCATCGAATGTTCAACTTAAGCCTTGTATCTGCCACCTTTATTAATGGCGAAGGTTAAAATTAAAGAGAACACGAGCCCCAAAACTTCAACAGACATTATTCCAAATCCAATTCCCACGAAGATATTGATGTTATTCCGGATGTATGCAGCGACTTTCGTGATACACCCCTCTTGGTAAATGAGGTTAGGGTCTATTATACCCCCAACATCAACTCGAAGCGAGCTTTCGCATTTTTCTTCGGCGACATTTTCGCGGCAACAACTTTTCGGAATGTTGTATTTGGTCCCATCGGAAATAGGTTTGAATGCTATCTCTTTGTCCGCAATCCAATCTGAAGGACCATCGGCTCCACAACATTGTAACTAAATTGAAAAATGAAATTTAAGAACTAATTTTAGATTAATTTTGTTACGTAACTCACCCTGTGTTGGATAGCATCAAAAGTAGCACGGCGATTCTCGTTATCTCTGTATTCATCGCGAACGGTTGTTTTTACGAAATTTCTAATAACAGGCTCTAAGGTATCTCCATGCATATGAGCCCAAATCACTGCCGCGATTTCCGCAACGAGAATGATTAACAATAAGCAGAAAAACTAAAAGGGAAAAAATTGTGAAAAAAGTGTTTTGTGAGTTATGAGTGAGCGAACTAACGGAAACTAAAAGGCATGAATTCTCTCTAAATGCGCCGCAACATCCCAAAAATGCCACGATAACCAATAAAACACCAGCTGCGAGGAGAAGATAAGTCGATATGTAGTAGTTATTTGTATCTTGGGCCATTGAAACGTAGAAAGTTTGATCGACAAGCATCCATACTGCGAGAGCTACGGTTGCTAAACCAGTTATCTAAAAAAATTATACAGTGAATTTTACTTAAGATGCAATATACAAACATATATTTCTATAGAAACCAGGGCTTTGTCCCACATAAAATGCAACTTGTCAAAATAATTTGACATTACAGTAAAACAGATCATAAAAATATACAATAATCTAGTGCTGGATAACAAATACAACTAGACTAACAGTAGTCCTAGAAATAGAAACATTCCGTTTATTTATTTGTCTGTTTCTAGTTCTAGGTTTAATGTTAGTTCTAGTGATATCACTATGTTGCATAGTTTTATTGAAGTAAAACTAGACCTAGAACTAGAAACATTCAAATAAACCCAATACTTTCTAGTTCTAGGTCTAGTGTTAGTTCTAGCTTTATACTAGCACTATCACTAGAACTAACAAAATACTAGTTTTACTTCAATAAGAGTATGTAATCTACACTAAAACTTACACGAGACCTAGAACTAGAAACATTCGGATTTAGCCGCTCGTTTCTCAAGACGGCTAAACCCGAATGATTCTAGTTTTAGGTCTTGTGTTAGTTCTAGTTTTCCACCAGTACTGTTACTATATAGAACTAACACTATACCTAGAACTAGAATCATTTGGGTTTAGCCGCACGTCTCAAGACTGCTAAACCCGAATGATTCTAGTTCTAGGTCTTGTGTTAGTTCTATTGATAGAGCTAGTGTAAAACTAGAACTAACACAAGACCTAGAACTAGAAAGTTATTATGTTATTTTTGACGTTTAACTGTCAAAGTTGACGTTTTTTAATTTTTCCAGATCAGTTTGATTGAATTAAATTTAATACTTTAATATTAGCTGTTACTTTTGACGTTTAATGTCAACGTTGAAGGTTAACTTACATATTTGTGACATTTGTAGTGTAAATTTTAATGTTTTGGTTAATTTTGAAGTATAATATGAAATATAATTCATTAAGCGATCATTTTAAACGTTTTTGAGACAAAATTAAAGCTTTAAAATCAAGATTAAATCACGAACTTCATGTTGAAATTGTCATTTTTGATGTTTAAGTTTCCAGTTTGTAATAAAAATGTAATTTTTGACGTTTAACTATCAAAATTGACGTTTTTTGATTGAATTAAATTTAATACTTTAATATTAGCTGTCACTTTTGACGTTTAATTGTCAACGTTGAAGGTTAATTTACATATTTGTGACATTTGAAGCGTAAATTTTAATGTATGGGTTAATTTTGAAGTATAATATGAAATATAATTCATTAAGCGATCATTTTAAACGTTTTTGAGACAAAATTGAAGCTTTAAAATCAAGATTAAATCACGAACTTCATGTTGAAATTGTCATTTTTGATGTTTAAGTTTCCAGTTTGTAATAAAAATGTAATTTTTGACGTTTAACTATCAAAATTGACGTTTTTTGATTGAATTAAATTTAATACTTTAATATTAGCTGTCACTTTTGACGTTTAATGTCAACGTTGAAGGTTAACTTACATATTTGTGATATTTGTAGTGTAAATTTTAATGTCTGGGTTAATTTTGAAGTATAATATGAAATATAATTCATTAAGCGATCATTTTAAACGTTTTTGAGACAAAATTAAAGCTTTAAAATCAAGATTAAATCACGAACTTCATGTTGAAATTGTCATTTTTGATGTTTAAGTTTCCAGTTTGTAATAAAAATGTAATTTTTGACGTTTAACTGTCAAAATTGACGTTTTTTAATTTTGCTTGATGAATGACGTGATAGAATGTTAAGTAAGGTTTTCTTTTGAAACGTCAATCAGCGTTTAACGGAGAGCCACGCACCATATAAGAAGTGGATCACTTCATAATATAAAACATTATAATAATAAAATGTATTTGATAATATTTTCGTGTTTACATTAACAATTAGTTAACCTCTAATTGTAGGATATTCCAAATAATTTTTTTGAAATCATGATAATCATAACAATAACCATATCCGTTTTTCACATTTGTTGTATTTTAAGTACATGGCTAAACCCAAATGTTTCTAATTCTAGGTCTAGTGTTAGTTCCAGTTTTACACTGGCACTGTTGCTATGTAGAACTAACGCTATACCTATAGTTCATTTTTTTTCTATAATACCTGTCAAATTGTTGTAAAGTTGGTAAAATTAACAGGGAGTTTTGTTTTATCATGTTTTGAAGTAAATATGTCACATTGACGTTTGAGCTTTCGTTATTCAAAAAGAAAAGGGGCATAAAAAGTGTTGTGGGGTGTTTATTTGCCATTTACTTACCTAGAAAAGGTATTTTATTCTATTTAATTACGTTGTAGCACGTTTTTATAACAAATATGTACTTCGTCAAAATCGTATTTATCTAAAAATTTATTAGTATTTTAACCTCAACTAATTAGTTGTTGACATTGTTACTAAAAATCATGAAAACAACATAAATTTTATAAGGGTCCTAGATAATACCAACAAAAACCCTAAATAATTTACATTGACAAGTATTATAGAAAAAATACGAACTATAGTACTAGAATCATTTGGGTTTAGCCCTACGTTACGTCTCGTAAGAAGGCCAAAAACTTAGGTTTATCATTAGGACGTCAATGTCTATTCTATTAAACTATGTTGCATTTTATGTCGGACAGTGCAAGTGTATAGTAGTTTCATAACTGGCGTTACCGCATTCATGTATTGCCAGTTACATAAAATTCTCGTTATTTACATTAAATATTTTGATATAAAAATAAAAATCTTGTAAAATAAGCCCAAACTCGACCTAATCATCTTTAAAAATAACAAAGTTAGAACCGGAAGTTGTCGAAAAATGAGCAATAATCAATAAAAAACAAAAATGATAAGATTGTTTTGTTTATTATTGTTATCCGGGCGACTTGGATCGATTGAATGCGTTTAAAATGGCTGTTTGTGCCTGGAATTAGGTGGAGAAAGGAGAATGAAAACGCTCACCCAAAATATTAAGTTAACGATGACCAAAAGGTACTTGATGATGCCCAAACAAGCACCCAAACCCATCTCGAATACGTTTTAAGTCGATTTTTTCGAAATCAGCTCAATTTTTTTATTTATTTTTGGTATTAACTCGGATAGACGAGATGAATCACAGTCGCCGGAAACGCGGAAGATGATTCAAGAACGAGTTAACCCGAACGTACCCGAACACGAAAATGTGACATAAATGACACATGACATAAATCAAATTTGACAAGTCTTTAACCCCAATTTTAATTAATTAAAAATAATTGTTAAGAATATTATAAAAATAAACAAAGATAAGATTAAATCGAGTAATTATTACGTAATATTTATTTATTTCAAGTTTTTTTTTACGCATGCGTACTTAATAGCGTGTTTAATGGCGTCGTTTGATTAAAAAATGCTTCAACGTAAAACATTAATTTTTTTTCAATGAATTCCGCGAATTAAGTCGATTTTACGAGTTAGTATAAGTAGTTTAGTGAAAGTTGTAACTTAAATAACATGGAAGTTCAAACCGCGAAAGATTTGCAAAATGATATAAACAATAACATTGACATTTTAATTCAGAAAATCCAACCTTTAACTAAGCAAAATCAAGCTAATGTTAATATAACCCAAGTAAGTAATCGCGATAAATGAGGCCAATAAGATTATTATTTCTTGTTTTGTTTACATTCAGTTACTCATAGAGTTTTATAAAACCGTCCAAAAATCAGAAAGTTATCACAAACTCGGTATATTTGCGTTAAATTTCGCCAAAGCAGCTAGTTTTTTAGATCATGCGTTTCAAATTTATGCTAAACAAGTGGATTTATTATGGGATTTATCGATTAATGCTCAAAAAAGGTATCTCTCGTACGAGGAAGATTCCGCAGAGAAAGTTGAAGCTGAAAAGCGTCTCGAAGAAAAGGCCCAATTTGGGAAGAGAAGGCGAAAAACAGCGGTTGTTGAAATACCTCCGGAAGAAGTCCCAGTTGATTGGAAAAAGGTTCGATTAAAAATGAAGAAATATTTTCGTAAATCACTTTTAGATCTCGATGAATTCAATTTCGACGATGAATTAGATGGGGCGGAAGTTAATCCGGACACTTTGGAACCTTTCCAACGGCTAAAATGGTTTAAAAGTTGGAATAAATTGTACCCGAAAAAATATGTTATGGCTCCGTACATCGATAGTGGATTTGTTACTCAAATAGATGAAGATTGTTATTATCATAGTGATAACGCAACGAATTATTTAGATTTTTTATTTCCAGAAATCCAAAGAAAGCTTGCTTATAATTTTACAGAGAATAAAAACTTAGATACGATCGGTTGTGACGTGTACGATAAAGCATTTCAACATTTCATTTGTAACGAACAAATTTCCAATCCCGTCGAGCATTTTAACGCAGAAATTAATCAAAAATTCAACAAATTTTTGGAACGCTATTTAATCGACGGCCAACCCCCGATGAGTTTATCAGAAAAATGTAAAAAATTGTGCCCAAGAAGGACATCGATCGTTCTAACACGACTTTCTAGCGATGTAGTTCAAAATCATCTCATAAATGATGAGCCAAGTACAAGTAAAGACGACTCTGGTTTTTTCGAAGATTTTGAAGATACAGATCAAGATTCTTCAACCTTTATTAATCCAAGCAATGAAACTGAAATTATAATCAGAAGAAGTGAAAGAAAAAGGGTAATTAGCGCCATCTTTTATTGAATTTCTGAACTATACTCTATTTTTTAATTTGGAGGAGTAAAAATAGTAAAATGAAAAATCACATTTGCACAGTGTAATTTTTCAAAGCTATTTTTTGGCGGGTGTTTTAAAATCAAAGAGGATTTTAAGTAAACTGTAGTCAATTTAATTATTTATTTGTTTAAACATAATAAAAACCAGGAGTTAACTAAGATTTGTATATAACATATATATACTATCTCCTATATCGCTGACTCCCTATCTAAGCAATGAGTGGCGAGCGTTTCCATCAAAAGCAGACGGAATGATATATGTTTTGTCTTTGTCGTGCCCCCATGTCGCGAAGGCGCTTGCGCGAATCGTAAATTTTAAAGAGTTTGAAGTGCTTCGCGCGTATTTTATGCAGCTTTGAAATGCAATTATTGTAGATAGTTGACTTTAATTATAAATTATCATAGATGCATCAAATAAATTAGAATATATGTACTTTTGTGTGAAATTGACGTTGAATATTGCTTTAAATATCAACTTTATGTAGGTTGTTCATTAAACATTATATTCTTTACTTTTGTTTAGGCAACCCAAATAACAAACCAAATTTTATGTAACCATGACAATTTTGTCGATTTCAAATGTTATAAATAAAACAAGAAGCCATTATTGTATTAGATTTTAGGTTATGTTTATGTCAAACATTTATTTGGTGTTTTATAAACATCAAGGTCATCAGCTGCTATTAATTTTTAATTCACCGTCCAATAAGATAAAAGCGTACTCACCACGTGTTCACGCATGTCTCTTGAGTAGACGGGGGCACGACAGAGACAGATATATATATATCTGCACTCTAGTGTTTACACTCTTTTGCTGCCTTAGTCAGCGATATAGGAGATAGTATATATATGCTCTTAAGTACCATCTATTGACACAAATTCTGGCCATAATTTCATTGCTCTTCTCATGGACTCAGTTGAAAAGTAGAGGTCAGATTACAAAGGTGTCATCCACGTAAC